TTAGGTGAGCAGACTTAGTCAGCCTGTGTTGCCCTAACAGATTACCTCTGGTTCAAGACACTTACCACAGGCTATTCTCAAGTCACCACCACCAACTTGGGTGATGACCAGCAACTCAATCATGCAGAATGTGGGGTTAGGTTTGTGGAACTGTGAGGGAGTCTGTGGGAAATCATTATTCAGACCCATATGCCTACTATGCCAATTCACTTGTAGTCCAAACACCAGATTTATATTAGGACTGTCTGATCTGTAAGCATGTTCTTTTTCAATGTATTGTGCTACCTGCTTGATAAGCAAGGACCTACTCTAGTGATGAAATGAGATGTGATCATGGACCCTTGAATGAAACTGTTGATATTAACATTGATATCCTGATGTTGACTCTCTATAAATATTACTGCTGAAATCATACTCACTGACACTGTATTAACTGCACCTTGCTCCTAAATTCTTGCTTCATCATGTGGAATACCTTCAAACTGCTGTTGACCTGGGCTACCAAGCTATTTGCATGTGGTAGACTTCAGGCTGCTGGCTGTCTCAACAAACTTGCGACAGGAGGAATTTTCACCCGAGCTGCGACAGATCGGACTAGATATTGTGAGGGCAGTCCTACGAGACCCATCAGTCTCCGCGATCAAACTAGGCAAACTCTATGGTGTGTGCCTAAATAGTGTACCCGTTCTACCTTGTGACTTACGTGTCATCGTCTAAACTATCAGATGTGATTCACTCTCACGAAATGGCAAACGACCTCGAAGACACCGGCATGTATGTAGTTTCAGTCAAAGAACAGGAAGAGGGTATGTTTATCCCGGTGAAAATGACTATCAATCACTGATGGAATTGTTGTGTTAGTTACGGTCAAGTCTTGGGCCTCTGAATATGAAGGAAATGGCGTGGAGCTCTTTCACAAACACATCACGGATTGCTGTGAGATGTGCCAGGGGCCTGGGTCGTCTATCTACGCGAAAACCGTCGTCATTGTCAATTCTTCCGGCATGGGAAAGACCCGCATGATCGATGAATCATCCAAATCGCTGTTCACCGTGCTTTTTGTGCTCAGGGATACGGCCGGCGGTATGTCATTGTGCTGAGTAGTGGGTGGTTGCAGTGCTGATGGGTCCGTGGTCGCAGGCTTTCCTCCTTCAGATAGCGACGTTCTGGCATATTTTCAGAGTCCCCGGACGATGGAAGACTGTCAAACCGCCATCTTATGCTTTCTCAAGACGCTATACGATAACTTGGCCGATATGCTGAAGAAGCAAACAGAGAAAATGGAGAAGCGAAAGCATGCCGAAATTGCACACTGGTTTCGCGGGTACCTGGGGAGTTGGGATCAAATGGGCGCACCCAGCCAGGAGCGGAAGCGATTCTTCGAAAGCGTGGTGAATGGAGCCAACAATGTGCGCACGAGACCGTTCTTCATGTATGACAGAACATGTTGGCTTATTTCCATCAGATGCTACAGGCCCAAGGTGCGATGCCGGATCCTACATTTACAGGAGGTCGAGACGCGGCTGGCCTGTCGCCTCGCCTGCCGGCCACAGACCTATCCTACCAGTCTCAGATGATCCGTTCGTTCCAAACGCTCTCGGAGCTTTTATCCCACGAGCATCCCGGACATTTGCCAACCGTGTTGCTGGCATTTGATGAAGCTCATACACTGTTAAGACCGATTGACAAACAAGACCGTAGGACCACCATCCACACAGTTTTACGCCGAGTGTTTCGGTCTCTCAACAATGAGCGACACATGGCATGCTTCCTCTCAACATCCGCCAGCATCACACAGTTTGCGGCTCCGATGCGGTTGGATCCTTCAAGCCGCATACAATGGGACATATATCACACCTTGCCAGCTTTCAGCAGCTTTCCCTTGAACATGGCGCGGATACAACCGCATGAGATGGATTTGACCGCCGTGGGCAAAATCGACTTCATGTGCAAGCAGTCGAGGATATTGTAAGCCCTCTCACCCTTCCTTGCAAAAATGAGCAACAGTTGATTCGGCATGGCGTGAATGAAGGTTTCGCACACGGGCTGAGCATGGTGTCCACAACGAGGTTGGCCGCAATTTGGTGCGATTCGCTAAGGATAAGCTGCTCGGCGCCTCAGACACATCGGAATACGATGATGCGCAAAATCTGGCCATTTTGGCCAGACGCATCCCGATCGATATACGAACGAATACGAGCTCAGCCCTCACATCCACAAATCAGCAGATCGCTCAGCATATGCGTGTGCTTTACAAAATTAAGGACAAGAACGAAAGTCTCATCACTGGATCCCCAAGCGAGCCAAGCATCTCAGAGGGTGCCAAGTCTGCAATGTCTAGTGGGTCATTCGATGCTGCAATTGCGCTCAGAAGAATTCTAGGCTCTCCAGGAATCAGTGTGGGTGAACGCGGGGAGATGGTAGTCGAGCTCCTTATGATCCTGGCCAGCGATGCTGCCACTAAACACGGCAAATTTTCGATACCTGACTTCTTCCAGAACCTGCTCACTGAAGATTCGTGGAAGACACTCCGCTCGTCCAAAGCATCACGTGGTGGAGAGCTCCACAACAAGCCGTTTAAAAGCACATTCCAAACTCTTTTGGGAACTTCAACCACATAATCAAGGTCCATGGCAACGTCCTGCAGTCGAAATTATGGTATCGTTACCCTACGAGACGTGCGGGCGTTTCCACGCAGTTCGGGCAACAGGGCATAGATGGTGCTTTCCCGATCACCATTGAAGGAACGAAGATCACACCCGATAACATCAGCTGTCTCGTTTTTCAAACAAAGGCCGTGACAGCTATGCAAGGGCCCTCTCAACCCGTGTTCGACAACATGGACAGCATAGTGAAGAAAATGTACAAATCAACACCCACACCCAAGCCTATCATTCGAGTCGTTGTCTCATTGTGATCCGAGGAGGAGGAATTGACGGTGATGCCATGCAAAGATTACGACAATGATCTGGTGACGTGGGACATCTATGTGCCATTCTGGACACTTGCCGCTGTTCAGAAAAACTCGGAAGTGTGGCAGGCTGTGCTGGACATGGCGACGAATGGGGCAAAGATGTACGATGAGGATGTGACGTTGATGGGGATGGACCCAGGGGCGGGGGTCGGCGACAAGTTTTGGCCCAATTGGGAGGAAACAGGAGAGGGAACGACTAAGGCTGGGTATGGTCGACAAGCAACGGCAACGACATCGAGCAAGGGGAAGGGAAGGCAGAACGCAAAGGCAAAGTGATTGGGAGGGTACTACATACAATAGATTTGACTCATTCTGCTTCGTGTTGAACATTTGGAAGGTGTATTGGAACATTATTAGAAGGTGTTAGGTAGAACGTCCCTTCGAGGCACGTCACCGATAATTCATTTCCCTGCGACAGACGCGCTCAACACTCTGTGGATGAGTCACTGGCCATGGCTGCGGAATGGCGGGAAAGGTGTCGCGCCTCGGAAGCGCCGGGCATGACCGGACACGGCATCCCTTCCCTCCATCTATCCATCCCACTCTGCGCTCAGGCCCGCCCCGTCTAGCTCGCACCGACAATCTAGTCATGGTTGATATTAGATTACCTGCCGGCTGATATCCACTTCGACGAGGACGAGGACGAGGACCGCAACAACAACGACTAGAACAACAACGACTAGAACAACGACGACGACGACAACGAGATGCACCCGTTCTTTCTCGTCCCTGAACTAGTAGATCAACTCCTCGCAGAACTACACCCTACATCCCTCCCAGTCCTCGCATGCACCGCAAGACTATTCTACGAACCCGTGCTGAGGCTGCTATATGGCAGGATCGTACATCCCAAGCAGCTGTTCGCTCTCATAGGTGGAGCAGAAGGCGAAGCGTCGCAGGAGGTGAGCCACTTCCAGCCTACCGTTCAACGTCCCCTCATGCTCGTAGGGATGGACCGCACCCCGACTAGCGCAGTTCGACCTCAAAGCACAACATGTCCTTCAAGTCGACTTCGCACCGCACGGCATGCCCCTCTCGCGCCAACTGACGTTCTGCGCCGCCTGGAGTTCTCTCCTCCGCTCCCGCCCCTCCCCATTGCCAAACCTCCGTTCCCTAGCCCTAGCGTTCTGGAACCCCGAGTCCTCGGAATTCGTCTTGTCCCTCATAGGGCCCAAGCTGCAGGAAATAACAGTCTTGTTCACGCAGACCAGGCCGCTGCACTTGCGCGAGAGGGAGGACGACGGTGCCGAGCGCTGCGGGGCGTTTTTCAGGACGATCGAGCGGCAAGGGTGTCAGTTACGTTCGCTGAGGCTATGGGGCCTCCCGGTCGAGAAGGAGGAGTACGAACTTGCATTGGCGCAGATGCTCGAAAACCAAGCCGAACTCACCCAGGTCTCTGTCGCAGGCGAGTTCCTAGGGTTTTGTCAAGCGCTCCCCGTCCTCGCCCAATGCCCCGTGTTACACGATCTGGAGATCATAAAGCCCTCTCTGTCGTGGGATGCTCCAACGGCGTTCGACTCCCTCCCAACGACGTCCGCGCTCTTCCCCGCTCTTCAAGGCCTGCGGATCACCGCCCCGGCGGAAAGTGTCACTCGGCTGCTGAGCGCCGTTGACGGCAGACTAGACCGGGTGGACATGGAGATGACTCCAGAGCTCGACGTGCCCGTCCTCGCGCATGTCGCCCAACTCGCAGCAGCCTTCTCGGATACGCTGCAAGAGTTCCGGCTCATAGGGCCTTACTCGCCCACCGGGGCACACCTCCCTCTCCCGTGGAGCGTCTTCCACCCACTGCTGGACTGTCACGCCCTTACCTCCCTCTCGATCTGCCTGCACTGGTGGGGCGACCTCGCAATCCAAGACGAGGATATCGGACTCCTCGCACGTGCTTTACCCCACCTCCAGTGTTTGAGGATATGGACAACCGTCTACCCAGAAGAGGGGATGCAGCGGTACCTCCACCAGCCTGCGGGGTTCACACTTTCCTGCTTGGGAGCACTAGCTTCCTGTAAGGAGATCCGGCTCATATCCCTAACAGGGGTGGACGCGACAGGCACTCACTTCCTCCTCCCCTCTTCCCCTGCCTGCGTACACCACCCAGTCAGGCTAGGACTCCGCGCCGCCCCGCTAACATCACCGCAATCCGTTGCCTTCTACCTCCAAACCCTCTTCCTGCGTGCGGTGTTACTCCCCAGGTACGCACCGGAAGACGCAGGGTATGCGGAGAACACGCTCTATGCCCAGCCTTGGGATTTGGTGGACGCGTTGATGAGGTATCATCGGGCTGCGAGGGCGGTAGAGAGGGGTGAGGATGCGGGTGAGGGGGAGGAGGACGGGGTGGGGGAGGGGTGGGGAGGGAGAAGGATCGTAGATTTACCGCCGATTGTGTAGCTTATGGGTAGGTGTTGATGTGAGGTGGTCTACTGTACACTTGTATTATTATGTATTATGTAATACTGTATGACAGAAATCAAACATTGACATGAACCCGGGCCTCCTGGTTGTACTCAGGTGTCTACCACAGCACTATCTGGCATTTACTAAGGGCGTGGGTTATCCAAGTCACTGAGGTCACAAAGATTGTGGCTTAAGATGGACCAGTTATGTCACCTGGCTGTGCTTGGACTGGTAGGTATCCCCATAGGATCATGCTGCTTCCAGTTGTTCCTGCTAGCAGTCTGATCTAACAAGTCTTCTTCAGCTAGAAACATAATATTCTGATATTTCTAGCCAAAGAAGACTTGAAATGAAAATGCCAGCATTGTATGACAGAAATCAAACATACTGGCTAGACCAGGAATCAAACCCTGGGTGCCTCCTGGTTTGTACTCAGGTGCACTACCACTGCACTATCTGGCCTTTACAAAAGGCATGGGTTATCCAAGTCCATCACTGGACAGCAATGCAGCTGATAGACAGCACTTGACTTGTACACATGCAGTGCTGGTGGTGTGCTATTATTACTTGACACATCCCTCCCCCCCTGTGCTGGGACATACCAATGTAGCATGCCAAACCCCTACCAATGTAGCAGATATGTCCATCTGCCTCCGAAACAAAGCTCAGAAGCAGATCCACACACTACCCCCACACTACTTGCATGCTACATTTGTACCTGTGATCCCCCTTGCCAATGATATAACTTCCCCCATATTCACCTCTTACCACCCCTCCCTTATACCTAGGCTCCCATCTCCCCCACTCCTCCATTATTTTCATCAATGCCCCCTGTGTTTTCTCTCACTAAGAAATGTGTCTACCCTGTTTTTGTTGACCTCCACATCCTGTGTGTGGTGGACCCTACTAGCTTATACCCCTGCTGGAGTCTATTTCCACATTTGACCTCCCCCCCCCATGTAGCATGTACTCAATCCGCATGGAAATTATGTCAAACAAACTACCAAACAGGGTTCCACCAAGCCATCAACATGTTGCACTTCCACCTGTATTATATTTCTTTCTATAAAATCCCTTTTAATATGCTGACATGGTGCTATCCATGCAATGTTGTGTCCAGGGCATGTAATGTCTCTCACTCACATGACCTCAGGGTCTCTTTTTTCTTTCCCTCTTTGACACATAATGATAGGCAGACATTCCCTTATGTTTCACAACCCAAGGTTACTCCATGGCATCATTTCCCCACATTCCTCAACTTTATTCTCATCCACCCTTGATGTCTCAACATTCTCAACCATCAGATGCTCCCAGCACACTCAGGCTCTCTTCTACAGCCCCCCCCCTTTCAACTGCCATTGCCCCACTTCAGTATCTGTTGTACTACCCATCATTGCCATCCTCTTCCCCTTATCTGACATGGCCTCCCTTTCAGCTCTATCCAACACAACCCTTCTACCCTTCCTACCATTATGGCAATCCATATGGTCCAATGCCTCAACCTGTCAGGGCACCAGCTCATTGCTTGGTCAAGAGACATGACTAAGCCTTTATGACATGGAAGTAGCTGGTATACCTTGGCATGTGCTGGAACCTGCTGGAAGGATTGGATGGTCAGGTGACCTGCTGT